ATTTCTTCAGCCTAATTTAGCATTTGATGAATGTCTGAGGACTCAAAAGGAGGCGCTGTGGCTTAGATGGTTAAAGCGCCTGTCTAGTAAACAGGAGATCCTGGGTTCAAATCCCAGCAGTGCCTTTTCAGGAAGCAGTGCTTGTGTCTGGATATCTGCGGGAGCAGTAATGTTGCCGGTTAAAGCCTCTGATATTTATAAGACTACAGCAATCACGAGGAAAGCATTTTAGGCTGGAGGATTGCCATGTTAAACTAAATGGACATTACTGAAGCTAGAATTTGCTGCTTTTTGGCTACGCACCAAAGAGGTCTTAGGAAGCATCCAAATCATAAAAATTAAGAATAACAAATATTTTTAGCCACTTATGTTAATTAGAGTTCCTTTACTGAAACATTTAAGACATATTTGTTTATCAAATGTTGAGAAATAACCTATAAATGCATACAGTTCTGTCCAATAAAGCAAGCCAAACTCATGACCTTGGCTGTTCTCAGGAGAAACCCAGGGTTAGACATCAAGCTGTGCTGCTGGAGGTCAGAATAGATACACAAATACAGATGTGTGTGTGTGTGTGTGTGTGTGTGTGTGTGTTACCTCTTGGCAAACATGGTGCTGAAGTTATCCAGGACAGTGCTGAGCTTCACCTGCAGATCATTGAGGATGTCGGCTGCTTCTGTATCCAGCTGCAACACATAACACAGCGGGAGGAAAAAAAACAGGTTATTTCCAGCCTTTAGAATCAGCCAGAGCCACAGACCTCAGCTGCACTGCGTTCTCGTCTTGTGGAGCCAGATTCACTTATTTACCCTTGTTTTTGGCAAGCACTAGTGGTCGTGAAAACTGAATATAGCTCAGTGAATACCCAGTGTTTTCATTTTGAGATAAGAAGGGAAGAAAAGGGAGTTAAAGCCCATATGTACTGTGTGTTAAACACTGTGATTTACAATCTGAACACTGATAGCATGTGAAAAACAACACAAAATGTATAGTATGAGGTCAAATGTGAACAAAATATAGTGATTTACTCACTGTAGCAAAGTGGTTGCTCAGTGTTTGTTGAGTTTTTCTGTATGATATAATAAAATATTGTACGGTCTTACCCTGAGATGACTTATGTTGTGAAATGGCACTTTATAAATAAAACTAAATTGGAAACAAGTCTTGCAATTTGGTTTGAAAGGGGTTGTTTTAATGGTTGCAAACTGCTGTGGTGATATAGTTGCTTAAAATTGAAATAACTATAAACATTAAATGGTGCTGTTAAATAAAAAAATCAAAAATATTTTCAGACGGACTTTGAATTAAAGTGCGAAACGAAACATTTTGCTTTCAATCAACATTATTAAGCAAAGACCTCAACTTTATTTGTCTTTGTTTTCTTTAAAGATGGTGTAAGCAGTTTTTTGGGGGAGTAAAAATTCCACAATTTTTAGGCTTTAAACATTTTGTAATTCAAGTGGTCTGAGAGGAAACTAGACTTCTGCACCTAATCGCTCTGTATTCAGGCTTTAGAAAGTCTAGTTTGGAAAAAAACAACAACCAAAAACTAACAAAAGCAAAACAAGAAACAGCCCAATAAAAACCCGAGAGAAGAAGAAATAGACAAAATACTGTCTTTGGTTGGGCAAGTTGTAATTATTTCAAAGTTTGCTGCTGTCTGGAGGCGAAAACAATTAAAAAACTGCTGAATCTTGGTGTTTTCATCTCTCATAAAGCGCATTAGCCATTTCTAGAAAAGGTGAAAAACCACCTCAAGTGAGCGAAAACTGTGAAAGTTTTCTCAACTGTTCCCACTTCCATTAACCTTTTCTAATGCGATACTTCAAAATGCCTGTAAAATACGTTGTGGAAACACGACCTATACTTTCTATATAGACAGTCCTCGAGCATGTGATGAAGGCACAACATATTTTTTAGAGCTCCACTGATGGTAAGCGTAAATAACCAATTCCAAAAGTGTGTTTTTTGCGTGAGTTGTATTTCTGTACTGTAAACCGAAAAGTTTCCAGCAAACCACAATCAATATCACCATCTCCTGTTCACAGCAGAATAAATATGTATGAAGCCGACTGTGGCGGAGGCTGAAAACATTGTGCGGCACATAAGCTCTGCTGCAGGAAGTGTGTTGAGGAGACGACCAGCAGTGTGTAACACCACATTCATTTCCCAGTAGGTGAGACGACACAGTGGAAACTGTGAGTCAGTGATGCACGCTGGGAATATTTGCTCTGTGATGAAACGAGGAAATAAACGCCGACTAAGATGCAAATCGCAAAGATCGTGACTAAACACGATTTCTGCCGAGGAGAATTTGTAGATGCGACGGGAGAAACCGGCTCATTTGTGCCTCTTCAAACCCATTCAACAGTCTGAAAAGAGCGTTTCAAGCTGCTGTTTCCTGAAGCTCCAGCAGGTCTCCGATGAAGGATGAAGTAAAAACCTGTTTTTAGCAGGAGGCTGTCACTCTTCCTCTTGAGTTAACTTGACTTCTCGAGAGTGGAAGCTGAATGTGGCGAACATAATAACATAGAATAAACCCGATGGCTGATTTTCAAAGGAAAAATAAGCAGGAAGCTGCTGAAGGAGGGATCTAAAATTAGCCGACTCTTATGCACCCAGGGTGTTAAAGACAAGTTCTATTTCTGTGTATGAATTTTCTGCACCTGAGAAACCTTCAGCGGTTCATGTTTAAGTGAAAACCGACAAGGACTCCTCAGGTGAAAGCATAGCAGCTCAGCTTCTGGTTAAACTTTGAACACAGAGCAGGTAAATGCCAACGAAAGTAAGACGGATTTCTCTGAAAAGTCTGGAGACCGCCTGGGTGGTTATGATGCAAACTTCTCTGGAAAAGATGATCTTCAGAATAACCGTCATCAACGATGTGTTGGATGAGAGTTGACTTGATGCTCGTCTTGTCAGCGGTCTGTCTCAGCTTCCTGTTCATCTTCCTCTTTAGCATCTATCTGGACTGTCTATAAGGACCCCCTGAGCTAAAGTACATCACAGGGAAAGCCTCTCTTAACCCTCTAAAACCCAAAACCCACAGGCAGGTTTGAAAGTCATGTTATCTTTATGAAATGCCAAAGTGGCACCATCTATCACAACGGGAAGCTGTAAGAACATAAAGAAGCAGCTGAAGTTTGTTTTTTCATGGGCGAGGAACTGCAAAAATAGCCAAAAATAAGCTTAACATTTTGGATGTTTCATAAAAATCACTTCAGTCTGCTTCTCAAAAAATAAATCATTTGCACCAGATGCTGTAAAACTAAAAATCTGTGCTCTTAAGCATAACTAGGAGACTTTTCAGGTGAACTGCAGGCAGTGTTTACACAGAGCAGATAGAAGAGAGACGAGAGGAAAATGAAATGAATTTGGTCAAGAAAATAAATGCAGCATGACTTAAAAATGATGTACAGAGGAGCAAGTTGTTGGAAGATGCATCCAGCACAGTGAAACATCTTTCTGGAGCTTTTCTTCAGTATTTGTGATACAAACAATCAAAGAAAACCAACATTGGTTTTTGTCTTTTTTATGATTTGTGGCATGTAACTGTGTCTTACTGCACAAAAGAAATATCTGAGTTCTCCTGACTTCTACTCATGGTTGTTCTGTTTCCATTGTAGTGAAAAATGAGCCCACAGTGAGTAAAAATGTGACGGGAGCAAAAACAAAAAAGCCCAGAAACTACTTAAGTTTGAAAAGATTAATGAATTGACTGAACTGTAAGCTTTACATATTTCTGAAACTGGGGTCCTACAGTCTCTGTACCCAGTACAGGAACCAAACATGATTCAGTTTGAAAAAGAAAAATCAACTTTTACTGACTTCCAAATAGAGAAAACAATTGGAGAAACTGTTTGACTTTATCAGACGTTTTAAATAAGTAAATGTTCCGTGTCGTCTTTGGTATTGTTTCGCCCACTACAAGCAGTTTTCTTCAAGGTCTGCCATAGTTTGTATTTGGAGGCATGAAGCATGCAGATAATATAAAAAAGCACACAAACATCATAAATCAGAATGCAATGATGAGGATGCAGCACTTAAACCCAGCTCGACTGTCACGTCTCCGTCATATCGTTTTGCTTTTACGTGTGTTCGTACCAATCTGTGCAGTTTGCAAAAGTTTGGGAATCCCCTCTGTGCCTCAGGTTCCAGTTTCTGAAGTTTTCCAGTTTGTTCAACCTCTGCCTCGACCTAAAAGCCAATATCCAGCTAAAAAAACTCCACAGTCAGCTCTCCAGCTACTGCAGGAATGACCCTCTATACCGCCTGTGTAACTTTTCATGTCTGTGAAGCTTTGTGCAGACACGCCTTGTGCATCCTACAATCAGTTTCTGCAACTACACAGTAAAGAAAATTGTACACATGTGCAGAATAGATGGACCTTGTATGCTGAGCATGTATGGAACGGAGTCCTCTAAGCCTCAAGTTGGCTAGAAAAATACGAACAACTGCGTGTTTTTGTGGTCTTGTCAGAGTATAATCAATACTCAAGTCTCCCTTTATTTATTTACCAAAAGACTGTTGTAATGCATTGTCCTACAAACAATCTTAGAAATGAGCAATAACAGAACATTATGCTAAAATCCAAACCAAATATCAAACAAACTGGAAATTAGTGGCTCTCTGCTTCAAAAGTAAACAATTTACAACCAATTGTGCGCCATCTATCGTTGCACTCTGACAGGGAAACACATGAAGAGCTCATTTGCAAGAACTCCATTTTTGCAGATTTTCAGAAACGTATTTTGTTGTTTGCTTGAGATAATATCAATCAAACTGAAGCTGAGTGGATCTGACCCAGTAGACATGACATGACAAAACTAGAGATAACTTAAGTTTGATATTGTCTCAGGTAGACCATGGAGAAGTGGGTTTTCTGAAGGTTTGTGAAGATGATGGAGTTATCTGTTTGTGCAAATGAACTCTTCACATAAAAACCAGAGTTGGACGGCCCTGTGCGCCCATCAAAGACCATCGCTGGTGTTTTCCATGTAACCTCTCTGTAGAACCGTGTGCATGGACCGGCTTTGAACGGACTTCTCTCTCGTCTGTTGACACTCTCACAGCCGCTCAGACATTTATCATCCTTATGGGAGTCTGGTCAATGTCAACATCGCTTTGGCAACCAAGCAGACATCTACTCGGGCAGCATGACTGAGTGACAGTGAGGATGCACCGGGCTTTTAGGGCCCAGACGCACTCAACAACAATCTGCCCTTTCATTTGCCAGTTTCTATAAAAACCCTGAAACTACGAAGGGCCACTACGGCCGTGCAGCCTGCAGAGTAAACTGGCCTCGAGGAGCCTGCGAACAGACCTTGGGTAAACCTGTGAAATATGGCCTGAGGGCTGGGCCTCCTTAGTATGTGCACCACGTGTCGCACCAGTCAAGTGGCTGGACGACTATCAGATAAGGCATCGCAAAGAGTCTTTGTAGGAAGTGTGCCATCGATAACTGTGGAAGTGTGTTATTAGCTAGAAGACACTGGGCAAACTGCCATAACATATAATTGGACTAAAGGAGGGCCACGACTTTCAAGTGACAGCGTTTTAGCTTCATGCATTTTAATTGGGAAATGTTGCAGAGAGAGAAGTGAGCTCCTCACTCCGCCCCCTTGACAACAAATGCGCACTTGGTCTGAATCCAAAACTGAAACCCATCGCTGTGTTTATGCAAACG